TGTGTGCGAGACCCTTACATGTATGTGAACACGTAAATGTGAACACAAAACACACACACGAGGGAACATGACAGGAAAGACAAGACGCTGTCATACCGTACACGCCACTCACTACGTTACTGTACACATGTTACGCTGTCATACCTGCGCTTGAAAGATCGTACACAGGATGGTGACACTTTAAGTGAACACGATAACACGTTCCAACGTATATATTGTAAATTATAATGTGGTTCTTGTCTTATAGAAAGGTGAAATGATCAGGGAAAGAATAGCATTACTTCTTTCTCCCATGATGAGGATAATGATAATAATATATAATGATAATGATGATATGATGATGATGATGATCATGATGATGATATAATGATAACAATAATAAATAATGATTAATTATTTATTATCATAATAAATTATATTAATTATTATGTACTTTGATCACTATCAACAGTATTATGATGTTGTTGTTGCTAAAAATAATGCACCTTCACCGTGTGTCCAAATATCTACTCTATATCGTCTAAAGTCGGGCCTCTGTTCGTGTGTGTGCATTCGCCACTGAATACTGTAATGTTTTGTCTTGGAATATCATAAGGATGATGTTTTAATACTATGAAAGCAGGATTCAGGTCTTGTATCTTGAAAAAGGAGTATATATATATATATATATATATATAATATATAATATAATGACTGGCATAATTGACTACATGAGAGACATTTATTATTTTCTGTGGCGCAGAGATTGAGCGTTCAGCTCTTCCGGAGAACAAATAATGTACTTATTCGATTATGATACATACATGACCTACACGTAATTATACTCTAAACCTACCCCTTTCTGTGTCTACTTTGTGGGTATCAGCTACATAAACGTGCCCATGTGGTCTTTATGAGGAATGTGAATATAAACTTTCGACCACCTCTTGTTCCGCTTTCAAAGTTTTTCACATAATCCAATAAAGGTTTATTTATTCTCATTCTCGAATTCAGTTTATCTTTATTGATGCCACGAATGATTAATGATTTTTCCCAACGCAGAAGGTAGTGTGAAATTGCTGTCTTAAAAACGAGACAAGACACATATAGGTAGACTTGATTTACAATTATCATTTTAATATTTCATTATGTTTGTACAAATATTGTAGGAGCATATGATCTGTTTTCTTATTTTGGTGTTGCTTTCATAAATACCACAGCGTAGTATATCGTGTTAACATAGTCTTAGTACTGCAACAGTTTCAGATTCGTCACCAGTTAATGCAACTAGTCTTTCTCGTTATCAATGAGTGTGCTTTTGCTGCATTTCGAGAAACGTAGTTACTCGCCCCTTTTTTACGTTTGTGAGGTGGATAAGTTGAAACGCATGAAATCGTCGATGAAAATAGAACATTTTCTATATTTATTTCAATAAATAAACAGCTTTAAAACTACGAAAACTAGGAGTGACCCGTCCGCGTCAGGCGCGTCGGCCGTCGGGTCGGTCGAAGTGCGCAATGAGGCTGGACACGTCGGGTCGTCGGGCGTTGATGATGTCGACGATGTCGGGTCTGAGGGCCGCGCTCCCCACCAGGAAGCCGTCCAGGTCCTCCAGCTGAGCCAGCTCTCGACAGTTGCTCGACGAAACGGAACCTGCGTACAGGATTCTGGTGCTGTTGGCCACCTTGTCGCTGACGTTGGCGCGCAGCCAGTCGCAGCTTGGCCAAGGCCTCCTGTACCTGCGCAGCTGTGGCCAGGACGCCGGTATTGCTGGCCCACAGAGCCTCGAAGGCGATCACCACACGCGACCAGTCGCTGATGCTGGCGGCGAGGGACTTCATCTGGCCGAACAGGACGTCGTCCGTGCGACCCTCCTCGGTCCTCCGACGTCTCGCACAGACACGCGATTATCTGCAATTGCACATTAAGATGAATTTGATTAATCATGCATATCTAGAAAAGAAAATCTCCAGTATCTCATTCGAGTCCTTTTAAAACATTCTCCAAAAATAAGAAAACGATGAGGAAAAAGCTGACCTTGATGCCAGTCTGCTGCGCGTGCGCGACCTTCTCGGCGATGAGTTGGTCTGACTCCTTGAAGATGGTCCTTCGCTCAGGGTGACCCAGGATGACCCACTCGCAGCCCGAGTCCAGGATCATGGCGGGAGAAATCTCGCCGCTGAAGTTACCATGAGCGACCTACGTACGAAAATATCACGATGTTACAAGATTATTAATATTACATTTACGACTATAACTATTTCATTTTTTTCTGCTAGAATCAAGGCTACTATATGGTCGACCATATCTTTTACGTTTATGGAAAGAACATCTTACCTTGTAACAGTTCTGAGCGGCGACAGCGATCTCGTCAGGGAGTCTCTGGCGGGCGTAGGACAGGTAGCAGGAAGGGCAGCCAACCACGGCCTCTGTTTGGGACAAGAAAATTAATATCTCGCTTTTGTGGACATTGCATAATCACTGAACTGAATTTATCCTTCATTACCTACTCACTTCAGTC